GGCAAAAACTCAATGAGATAAAAAATATCACATCTAAATGAATAGTTCAAGATTGAATGCAACACTTCAAGTAAGATAAACGTTAATAATTAATAGACCAAAATTTCGGTGCGTGGTGAAAGAGAAGAAGGGAGCAGTGTGTCCGCATCACTATGTGCATGGTGATCGAACATATGGTGCATAGAGTGTTTGGGGCATTTGGTCATTACCTCTTTGGCATTAGATTGAACAATGTAGGCACTGTGTCAAACACCTTCGATGTGTCCTGTGTGTACGCTGACAAATCACCTGCAACAAAAACCATGACCTAACTCAAAATCAAAAATACAAAATTAGGGTACCAAATCAGTATACAATCAAAAACAATTTAGGTTGCAATCAATACAAAAAAAAATATTTAACAAAAAAGAATGTGTTTTTTCTGTGAAGATGGGTGGGTTTACAGTGGACATGAAAGAGAAACCCTATGGTGTGGGGTGGGGTGGGGGAGTCGATAGCGTTGGGATCATAGATGTCGTTGGTAAGAGAAAAATCAGACATAGAGAGAGGAAAACTGAGGAAATAGAGGAACAAAGATAGAGAGAGGGAAAGAGAGTGAAATCTGGTATCATCGATGGAAGTGGCGGTGGTAGTGGCGGTGGCGAGGTCGTTGGTTGAGAGAGATTGTGAGAGACAGACGTAGTATAAATATGAAAATGGGAGATATGTAGTTTGGATGAGACTGAGTAAGAGACGTATAGGTATGAGAGACTGAGATAAGTCTTTGAGAGACGTACGGAAAGAGACAGAAGTGAGTGAGAGATTGGGAGAGAGAGGCAGAAGTGAGATAGAGATGCATGTGAGAGAGAGACGCGTGAGAGAGAGGCTGAGCAGGAAAATAAAATTTAGTACTTATTGTAGACCGTTTGATCAAAATTTTTGAAATAATCTGAACCGTCTTTTACATTGGGATTACGTTGTTCGTTGGATGTTTTTATGTTTTGTCTCAAAATGATCTAGACATCTCTTTGTCTCTAAATTCAAACTTCGTTCTACTTTATTATATATATACAATATTGGAGAAATTATATTGAAATGATTGTTTTTAGTTAGATTTTTTTAACAATTTTTTTTTGCTACAATTCAAATCATTTGACAGATTTTTCCCGCTAGTGATATACTAAAAAACCATAATCTTGAAATACTTTTGTTAATCCTCGATGATTTTATAGTCCAGTTAATATTACTTTGTATTTAATAATCTTTTTATTATTTTTATTTTTGGCCTGACCTTGTCTAACATTGTTCCAACCCCTATGTGAGCTGTCTTTCCAGAAGCTCTTATATGCCTGCTTCTGTCTATGTCCTTTCATTAGTGGTGCCCCAATCACCTTCTTCATTGACCAATTTTGTTGCTCCAACTAGGCCCGTCAACCGATCCAATTTGGGTCGTATTCCATTCGATTCAAATTTGAATCCGATTGAAGAATGCCGATCCAATTCATTCAAACTTACCAATTCAATACAAAAATTCGATCATATCCTAATAAATAAATTCAGTTCAGTTTTGACAAATTGCTTCTAAATTTCATTTCGATTGATGAAATAATTTTCCTCACATACGCACATTTCACATACATAAAATTTTGGATATAATCATACTGGATATTGGTACATAATAATAACCGTTTAAGATTTGAATTTTGGTTCTGAATATGATGTATTGACAGGCTAGCCCCAAGTAATTCTTTCCTTTATTTTTATTTCACCCAACTGAGGAGGATTTTTGTTTATTAAGAGGTAATAATGACGAATTGTAAGTTCAGATGTCTTGAATTTAAATTTTGACAATTCCTTGATAATAGACCATGAAGAATTTGACTCACATGAATACTCTAATCCCGACATGGGTAACTTGCCTTTGAACACGATTTTTCACATAATTTTGCAAATAAAACGCGGGTTTTCACATGTAACGTCAATTAGGATAGAAATTGAAATGTTATGAGTTTTGATTAAGAGCCACACGAGGGTCATTGATTGTTTTTTAAACGAACGGAGGGATGAAGTGTAATTACACATAATCACAAGGGATAAACTAAAATTTGCTCTAACTGTATTTATGTCTTCTTTTTCTTTTCTTTTTTTGGTGCCTAACTTCATGGGAGTTGTGCCAGACTTTATGTTCTTTTTATTGAGTGGTTGGTGGTGGGTCGTGGGGTGCTGTTTGTGGAGGGGTTGTTAGGTGTTTTTTTCCCCTCCTGATGCAAAGATCGCAAGTGATCGGAGGAATATTGTTTTTTTAGTTCAACAGATAGTGATATTTAGGTCAGCTAATACATATTTTGACTAATTTTTTCTCTTGATCAGTTAAAGGCAAACCACCACGCCAGGACTAAAATAATCATGAAGGATAAATTCTTTTTAGTGTAATTTAAAAAAATTGTTAAAATTCAAATCAAGACGTTTGATTTTTTAGGGAATATCCATTATAGCCTAGAAAATGATTCCATCCTTATGGTCCCCTTGCTTGGTTCTTTTGGAGAAAAAAAATCCCTAAAGCTTCCAATCAATTGTGCTTCTTTTATTAGCTAGGAAGATTAAAGCTCAATTAGGGCTTTAGATTTATAGTTTCTTTTTATATCCAATTAACTTATATGATTAGTGAGGGAAGATTACGATGCTGAATTTTGATCCTACTATTCAATATTAATCTCAAAATTTTTAGTAACTTGACCATCATTAAATCGTATCGGATATTTTTAAATCGTACATTGTGGTACAATACCAAACTAAATGCCATAGTCATTCCATGGGTTGTGTGTGTGTAGTAACTGTCTACAAGCCTCATTTTCATTTGTATTTGTTTCATAAATAAAACATACATGTGATTTGGGAATGATTATTTATATCAGAAACTTGCATTATTGTTACTAGTTCAAAACACTGTGTGGGTATAAGGATTCTTCTGCATTTGTATTATTGAAAAAAGAGTAGTGATTGCTCACGGAACAAGCAGAAGTCAACCCATAAAAGTTGTCTTGTAGTTAACTATCCAATGTCCCTGCAACTAGATTTTGCCATAGCTGTTTGTGATATGTTTTTAGACACTGGTCAAGCCTAATCCAAAGCCCAACTTAATCCTCACTCTTTTTTCTGCTAGGAGAAAAGGGTTTAAGACCCAGTTACCCAACCAGGTGGAATACTTGTTTGCACGCATGATCGTAGCAGCTTGAACGAACGTATGAGAGAAGCCTATCAGTAGAGCCTCGATAGCGGAAAAACGCAAGCATTCTCAAATATTGGCTCGAGTTACAAAGTTACCTGTGGGAGTCAGAGAGGACCCTAAACAGGGTCTGCAACTCACTGGACCACTAGCCCGGTACAGAACCAAACAGAAGATTTCAAACAACTAAGCATTGTAAGTAACCACAGCACTAAGGTTATCAAAAGATTGTGTTATACTAAGTTTTTGTCATTGCCGAATCGCATTATACAAAATTTACCCAATGTCCATGCAACTAGATCTTGCCATAGCTCTTTGTGATTTGTTTTTGTTTGGACACGGGTCAAGAATGAACAACGTTGAAATGGTCTACTCTTGTGTTTGGTCCACCATTTTCTTAATAAATTAAACAGCTGTCTATAGCTAGCTAGACCATTAACATATACAGTCAAACCTAATCCAAGGTCCAAATTAATCCTATTAATTAATTAGCTGCTGAACCAAACGCTAGATTTCAAATAGCTAAGCATTATTAGTACCAGCACCACCATCATATGGTGGCCACCCTAACCATTATTATCCGGCCGCCGACATCACTGCTTGGTTTATTTTTCCAAGGATCTGCAAAGTGGAGCCGGCCCACCGGTATGAAAAATAAAACATGGGTTTTGGGACCATAAAAAAATTATTAAACTTGTAATAACGATACATACTAAAAAGAAAACTTTTGAGCACCGTAAACTAGTCCTAGAATGAGTATAGCCTTGCTTGTGCAGATAAGAGAGAATCTCACCAAAATTGCCATTATGATCTCCCATGAAGGACCACCACCACCTTTAATTTGCTTTTAGACAAACAAATTCCACCACCAAAAACGTGATTAAAAAACAAACAAACAAAAACTATCAATCCTACTTTTACCCAGCACCAAAAGCAGGTAACAGTAACTTCAAGGTGTAATTCAAATGACCAGCTGCAAATTTAAATTTTATCAATTATGTGGGCCGAAATCATAAAAAAATTTATAACTTATAAATACTCTTAATTTTAACGTAAACGACTTATTTTTAATTAAATCAAAAAATAATTAATCAAAATATACGTAAAATTAACCCAATCACCACCCAAAAAAATCAATTAATAATAAGTGTTAGTTTTTCATATCATATCCCTCAAAATTATTGCACAATAAGAATCAAAATATTCTGATGAAAAGTTTAATATTAAATAAAATTTATTATCAATCCAACGATGAAGCTTAATACTATCTATATAATAAAATAACTTATAATTCAAATTTTAAAAAATAAACAAAATGACTTTTATTATTCGCGATTGAGATTGTTTTAAATTTTACTTTAAAGTTAATCTAACAGTTAATATTAACACCCAAAATTTAATAAGAAAAATAGGACCTTAAGGGTGTATTTAGAGTGACTTTTTAAAAATATTTTTAAAAATTATTTCTCATAAATACTTAAAAAAAAAATAATATTTAAAACCGCTCATCACTATCTCTACCACCACCACGGCCACCACCACTACTATCACCATCGTTGTCGCCCCTGCCACCATTGTTATCATCGCCACCACCATTACTGTCGCCGCCACCACCACCATCGTTACCATCATCGCTACCACAATCATTGTCACCCACCACAACTATTACCATCTCTTATTGCCACTACTGCCGCCACCACATCTCACTCTCATTATAAACCGATAATTAAATTCTTTTATCTTTTTTTTTATGTTTGTGATTTGATTTTATATATGAATACAAATATATTTATTGTTTACCATTTTTTATTACTTTATTCCTTCACGCACATACACTAACAAATTTTTCAATATAATTAAACCCGAGTTTTAATCATACACAAATTTGAAAACTTGTTGCATCAACAAATCTAAAAACGATTATTGCAAATATATGTTTAAAACTTCAACACTACATTTATAATTATGCATTATTATATTTTCTATTTCCATTTTTATCACAATGTTTAAGCAACAAACAAAATTTACACTTCACATAAAGACCGCAACCCTCACTTTACCAAAGTTCCAAACACTTTCAAGTCCCTACCCGCCACCGCCACCGCCACCGCCAACGCCGTCTCCGCCACCATTACCACCACCGCAACATAATATCTACATACATACAGATGCCCACTCTCTATATCTCTCTTCTTACATCAAACCAGCGTCGAGCAAGCGGAGGTCTGGGGGTCCCACATAGCCGGAAGCAAAAACATGCGCCCATTCACCCCATGCGCATTATAGCTCGCACCGGTGGTCTTATCAACAAGGACTTGACCCGGGTACCCAGGATACGCCCCGGACCCGAATACCCCTGTACAAGCAGAGACTGCCTCTAACGGCGCCGTTGCCGGACCTTGAAAGTAACCGTTATTAAACGGATTCGTGATGGTTCCCGCCAAAACAGTGGCCAAGTTTATGATCATACCATCAACTCCGACGTCTCCGTTAGGAGCATGTAACGGCGGTGTCTGCGGGCCGTAAATGGGCTGATGGAAAGGCCAAGCACACTGACCAGGACACTGAGTCTCCGAGTTACCGACCCAAGCATACGCAAACCGAGTCGTCCCCCGAGTTGACCCGTGAGTTCCACACCGATTCATGCAGAACCCATCAACGGCGACTTCCTTCGCCGTCAAAACGACGTTAACAGACCCACTCAGGTGGCCACCTTTAGAGGCCAAATATATAATATTCGAATGTTTGAGTGTCTTTCCCAAAGAGTAATTTTCGTCTAGGATTTGTTTTCCGATGATGAGGGTGGTGGCGCCACCCTTGTACTTCGCGGTGGTCTTCCACCAGGATGAGGGGGAGGGAAGGGTTGGTGTAGCGGAGCTGAGTGATTGGAGGAAGTCGACGATTATGGACCGTTGGATTGGGCTGAATTTGCCATACCAGATGAGATTAACGTTGACTTTGCCTTTCAAAAGAGCTCCGTTGTGATATTTTAGAATCAAAGGTTGTTGCTGTACCAAAGCAGCGATGGAGGGTTCGAAGTTGGCGGTGACAAAGAGGCACAGCAGTAGAAGAGAAAGGTTAGTGGCAGAGTGGTAATTAGAACCCATTATCAAGGTTAAAGTGTGAAGCCCAGAGACAGAGAGGGGGTGGCTTGTTGGAGATGAGGAGGGAGGAGGGTATTTATAGTGGGATAGGGGAGGATAGGACAGCTGTATTCGTAGAGATGTCAACGTCGGAGGAGTCCACGTGGAGAAAAGTGATTGGTGATGATTGGGATTGCCAGGCTGGAAGGTTCTGGAAATGACGTGGGAGCTATGTATGAGGAAGGTGTTTGGAGGACGATGGTGACATGGACTCATTGCATGCAGATGTAAGAGAGAGAGAGAGAGAGAGAGAGAGAGCGTGGACTTAACATGTGTTGACTGATAAGATTGAACTATTTTTTTTTTTTTTTTTTTATAAAGGTTAATTAAGCACACTAATCTGAACACGATGCAGAATTAATGCACACATACACAGTTTAAGTCTCATCAATTCTTCTCTTAACAGATTTAACTTGTACCCCCCACACAAACTCAACATCACACTAATCTAACCATAAACTATTATAAATTGGTCTAGATTTATTGACAATCTTTGACTACATTGAAATAGCAATGTGTCCCCCGCTACTCTCATTTAATTATCTCATAAATTATTCTCACAAACACGCATATGAATTTGATCTAACGAAAAGAAAAATGATTAAATTGGAACCCGCAACTTTAAAATTTGTCAAACAAAACAATGGCTTTGAAGTTATTCACCTTGGTTTTAAGTCTATTTAGAAAATCAATCAAATGACAGAACTTCACATAATTTCACTATTAAGGAAAATGCTATGGTATCATAAAAGTATGATATTGAAATTTATAATTTTTAAAAATTAAGTTATAATTTTTTTTAAATATAAATTATAACTTATAAAAGATATGATCAAACAAAAAAGATTAGAGTATTCATACTCAAGTTACAACTTTTAAATATTAAATTACAATTTTTAAAAATTAAGTCATGATTTATATGAGAGAAATTATAATTGCTCAAAAAAAGCCTATGAGCGATCATAAGTATCTGTAATGAATCATGGTGTTTCCTTAAATAGTTATAACTACTCGTTTTAAATATTTAATTCTTGATACTGTAGATTTTTCCCAAAATTAATACCAACTCTATCAATCAAGCAAAATATACTGTATTATTATTATCTCCACAAGAATTGGGACCACTAAGTCTACATCATGTGCTTCACTTAGCAAAGGATTAAGGTATTGTGGTCAGCCATCTGATAATTTTACACAATCCTTAGGAATAAATACACTCAAATTTAATGAGATTTATCACTTAATCGTTCAGACTCTTGATATTTAAAATATTACACACAGATCCTGTGAGATTTGTATGTACATAACACTTAGACATCTGTCGTCAATATTCGTTAGTATATCTATTAGTAAATTACACCTAGACCTTTTAAAATTTTTAAATCTGTAATATTTAGACCTCCAAATTTAAAATGTTATACTTAAACCAAAATAATCTAATCAAATATAAAATATTAGTTATTTCATGTGTTTGAAGGTACAGAGTAATAAAAAATGGTAAATAATAAACATATTTACATTCATATCTAAAATCAAATCACAAATATAGAGGAGAGATAAATTACTTTAAGCATCAGTTATAATGAGGATAAGAGGTGATAGACGACAGTTGTGGTTGATAGTAATGACCATGATAGTGGTGGTGTTAACGTTGGCAATGACAATGACAATGACAATGACAATGACGACAATAATGGTGGCGGTGGCAATAGTGGAGGTGACGACAATGACAATGGTGTGAGCGATGGTAGTAGCGACGATGGTGAAGGGTGGTGGTAGTGGCGACGATAATGATAAAGGTAGTGGTGGAACGATTTCAAACACTATTATTTTTGTAAAATACTTTTGAGAAATAATTTGTAGAAATACTTTTATAAGCAAAATTAATGTTCTACTATGATATATGATGAAATAAAATTAAAGTTAAAAATATAATTTTTTATTAAAAAATCATGAATTTCAATAAATACTTATAACATATTAAAAAAAAAAAATTACGTAAACATTAGCACAAAAATAATAATATACAAATGACACGACACAACATAAATTCAGACACTTAAACTTATAATCTGTTTACTGTTACATACATGTGGAGCCAAGAAAGATGACATCAGCTAAGCTAGCTTTAGGTCATTAGGTGCAGACTTGAATGCTAGTGCTGCACTACTTTAACGATTATTTTAATTTTACTTTGTCCCTTATTATGGATGCCATCAGATTAATTTACTCATTTATTCGTACTCCCTAGAAGGGTCCCAATTCCCTATGCCCTACCTGTGAATTTTTTTTCTTTTTAAAAAAAAAAAAGTATTGGTAAGCCGACCTGTGAGCTATTGGGCCCTCACTTTTTAATGACCCTTACGTCACTTTCCTTGACTTAAAGCCCCTCAATTAAATTATATTTTAATTTTAGCCTATATTTTTCAAAAAACAGTAATGTAGGCATCCCGTCAAGAATCCTCTAAGGTCTTCGTTGTATGATTGGTTTGGCTTCGATAAAATGGTAAGGTTTGAAAAAATAGACCAAACCAATAACTTATTATCTATTTAATTGGCATCTCCAAGACTCGTGACTTTAAGTCTATATTTATCTCGGTTTGACTTCAACAATTCCGACAAGCCCACATATGTAGGTTTCATGAAACCCAAGGGTTGAGAAAAGGAGGGGGGGGGGGGGGGGGAGAGGGAGGTCTGGTTGTGTGGGTTTGTACAGAAATGCTGAGAGAGAAGCAGAGTGATTGTAAGAAAAGAAAGGTCTGGAAGAGAGTGAGAGATAGAGAGTTTGCTAGGTTTTTTTGTCAGAGTGATTGAAAGAGAGAAAGGTTTAGAAGAGAGAGAAAGAGAGTTTACTAGGTTTTTTTATGCCAAATCGCTGAACATGTGCATGACTCACACGTGTTATTAAATTGGATGAAAAACGTGACTTTACATTTTAGTCCAAAAATCAAAAGTGGATTATGTACTATTTTAGAAGGATATGAAGGGTGATGTGCAAAACGGGTTAATCAGAGGGAGGTAAAGTGAAATTTGTTCAAAAAAAANGGGGGGGGGGGGGGGGGGGGGGGGGGGGGGGGGGAATTGGATTTCAGGAGTAGGCAGGTTATATTCGTAGACGGAAAAATTATTTATCCCCATTTAACCATTCAAACATGACCTAAATTCTCAAACGTAGATTGTATAGCATAATCTAAGAATCCTTTGGAATTTGATGGATTATTGATGGAAGGGCTACATTGAGTCACTTTATAGAATTAAGGGGGTAAATGGAGATAAAAATTAGTTAAGGGGTATCATTGAAATAAATAGTGTAATTTTAGCTCTCTTTTTTTTTTTTTTTGAAAGTATAATTTTAGCTCTAACAGAGTAATTCACTCTATTTTATTTGACAGCTGGATGCCATTCTGGTAAATAATTGAAAAATCGAAATAGTAATAGCATCAAACGAGGTTTAGTGGGCTTTTTCCTCAGTAGTGATGTGTGGTCCCTGCAAAAAAGTCAGAGAGAGAGAGAGAGAACAAGGGTTTTTGAACATTTTCTTGGCATTGTGTAGAGGAAGATAAACATTTTCTTGGTTCGCAAACACGCGAGTCGAACATGGGAGCGGTGCCGACTATTTATCATAACTCAAGGCATTGTTTCTACTTCATGTCATCTATATAATGGATGATATTATTTTTTAGTTTTATTGGCTTAATTTTACTTTATTTTTTTTAATTTTTTGGTTCATCGATCAAGATGTTCGAGTCAATTTATTCACACTTCGACTAATCTCCTTCTCAATCCAATTAAAAACATATAATTCACGATGAAACTAGGATTCATAAGAATTAAATTTCTTATGACTTGGTCCCAAAGGGTTGTTAATACTTGAACTAAAAACGTCTGAATTTGCACATCATCTTTATTACCACTTAAGTTATCCTTCAAGTTGACTTAATATTACTTTGTTCAAAATGTTCTTTTTTTTATTATTAGAAAAGAATTTTATATTGTAATTCGGATGATGAAAAATAAATTGGGAACAAATATTTGAAAAAAATTGTATATTTTTAAAAGATAATATTTCTCATTCTTTTGCAACTTTTTTTAGTAAAATGTAACGAGGAAAGATAAAATATAGTTGAGATGCGCAAAATTTAATTCATATACTTTTGACCAATGAACTAAAAATATATATAACATTTGGCATGGCATGAAACTAAATGTAATATTCAAGTGATTAAGAGACCCTATGCATTAATGAGAGAGACGAAGGGTTAAGAAGAAAGTGTACAACAATAGTATTCCATATTAAGGACTACTTCTCCGAGAATCTCTAACAAGATATACAAAATTCTAATTTAGTTAATCAAAAGACAAAAATTATGTTCCAACAAAAAATGTTCAAATTCTCTACAATTATTTTTTACTTCAATGGCATTTTAAATATACAGCTTTCTCTCTTCCCTTATTTTTTCCTACTTCTCTTGTTCGACTTTCCTTCTATTCTCTTTTTCACTCTCTCTAGCAATCCCAACAAAGGTATAAAATATGTGAAATAATGTTTAAAAATAATAGTTAAAATATAAAAAATCTGTTAAAATGTGTATTGAAAAAATAAATAATTAAAATAAAAAAATATAATTTTAAATAGTTAAAATATAAGATCTTGTTGGAGATGCTCTAAGTTGTAACACAATGCCCTTAGGTTGAAATGGGTCTCAAATGGGGACATTTGGGTCAAAAAGGAGTTAATGATGGTGATTTATTCACGACAATGTGTTTAGTTTAAAGGGTGAGCAAACCACGATAACTCAAGTTTTATTAATAGATTTNGTTGGAGATGCTCTAAGTTGTAACACAATGCCCTTAGGTTGAAATGGGTCTCAAATGAGGACATTTGGGTCAAAAAGGAGTTAATGATGGTGATTTACTCACGACAATGTGTTTAGTTTAAAGGGTGAGCAAACCACGATAACCCAAGTTTTATTAATAGATTGTTAATTTATTGAAATTAAATATTAATTT